GCGCATTCCTCTCACTTCCCGGCCAAACAAACAGCTCTGGCCATGCTGGCCCTCCCAGACACGGCGGCTCAGACCGGAATGGCCGCTGGTCCGGTGCCGACGTAGAAGCTCCCATCATACTCTCCAATCATACTCTCCCAGATTCCCATCATAGAGGCGACCACGGCGTCTTGTGCGACCGTCAAACTGGAGAGCCGCCCTCCAAACACCTCTGACCAGAGGTGTTCTCCCTGCCCCCCCCCCCCTCCTGCCCCTTCTCCTTCCCGCTCTCCTGCTCCTCGCCCCTTTGGCCACTCGTGCCGCGCTCTGCTCTTCTCTCCGTCATCGTCCCCTCACGTGCCCTCTGCCGTCTCCTCCCATGCTCTCCCCAATCTCCCCTCTCCTCCCGTGACTCCCATCATAGAGGCGGCCGCGGCGTCTTGTGCGACCGTCAAACTGGAGAGCCGCCCTCCAAACACCGTGACTCCCATCATAGAGGCGGCCGCGGCGTCTTGTGCGACCGTCAAACTGGAGAGCCGCCCTCCAAACAGACCGTGAGACCGTGACTCCCATCATAGAGGCGGCCGCGGCGTAGGCGCCGCGGCCGCCTCTAAAGTACAGCCGTCGAAAGGCGGCGCCATGCCATAGTCGGTCGGCTTCTTCGACATTATGTTAAAAATCCTGCCGTTCAAAGCGGATTATCACGGGTGAATCCAGCGTCTTCGCCTGGCCGTTGCCGCAATATTTCTCAAACGCGACGCACAGATTTGGTGGATTTTTGTCCCCATCTATATCACCGTAAGTGATGGGTAGATTGCGCTGATTCAAACGACGATCAGTTACTTATAGATCAAGGTGGCATTTGTGAGTTGAGCGGTGGCTCATGATGTCAAGAGTCAGACCGAGTGAAAATGTCTCCTTGGTTCTGATGACAATAATTTTGTCACAAATCAGAGAATGGTCGGGCAGGGAAAACCTAAATACATGATGTAGATAATCACTTGTGCCATTGTGACTCATATTGAGCGTAGGCCACGCAAGACCATGTCAGGTGACCGAGTCACATTTATCCTTCGAGTCACTTTGTGATGCGATGTATGATTTCAGCTTGAAGAACAGACTTAAGCCCTCATAGATGCTGGTCAGAAATTTGCGCGCCTGTATGACTGTTTCATCAGCGTGACGTCGTCCACAGCTTTTCCAACTGCCCGCAGAAGTATACTTATGACCTCAGTGATATGTTTAAAAATATCATTGAATCATCGTTAGGAGTTGTATGTACCTTCAGTGCCTTCAGTACTCTCACTACCTTCAGTATTTTATTTTTTCAGCTCGAGTGGCAGGAAACATATTTTTGGCCCTGGCTTATTACGCTCCTCGCGAGCTTTTATGTGATCTTATCCTATCTTTAATTATGACTTCATCTTAGGCTGTTTGAAAGCCTGGTTACGTAGCTAAAAATTTCCCCGTGTCTCACTTATTCTGCACAGGGTGGCAAGCAGACGAAATTCCATTTTACCTACGGCACGCGCGGACGGCGAACACTGACTAGCAAACACGGATGCATTATTGCGTGAAATGACATGACCTAGGATTGCATTAGGCTTGATTTTTGGCACAGCCTATCTTACATGTTCATGTGAATGTACTGAAAATTTCAAGTAAATGTCTCTCTTGGTCACCGTCTCCGGGAAACGAAATGGCGAGGAAGAGGGCAAATACCGCCGTGACACAGATTTTCCCTACAGCTGAGTATGTGTTTGACAAGTGATGTTAACGTCTGAGCTTTCTTTGCCTCACGGCGCACGCACCACCAAGTGCGTTGGTAACCGCACATGTATGCACTTAAAGTAGCTGGACACTTGTCGTATTGAGCCACGAGGTTAAGCAGTCAAGTCACTTGAACACGCCATTTAAGAACAGTTGCAGAACTCTGCCAACCTATAAAGGCAAGTACCTTTTTAGAATTCAGATGTCTGTACGATCCTTTCACGTGTTATGTGCCCTTCTATTTAGACCAATAAGCCCATATCTTCGTCGGCCTTCGGAGGCGAATGGGAGACCTTGCACAGACCGTATCCCATATAAAGCGTCATAGCTCGTAATGCCAGCAATAAAGTTGGAGACAAGTGATGTGCTAGGATCACGACGTGCATTTTTACGTAGACGCGTCACAGTGTTAAAAGGGCAAATCAGCGCCAGGCGACAAATGCCAAATACAGGCGCACGATTTGTTGCTATAAGATACCCTCAACTTAAAAACCGGCTGCAAACCTTCTGAGACCTTATTTTAATGATATCGATTTTCATGTATTTGAACCAGACGCACGGGCTACCCCGACAGGCTCGCTCGCATCTGCCGTCAGCGACGCATATGGCAGATCTAGTGCAGCGCCTGCGGCACGCGTGAGCGAGCCTGACTCTGATTGGACCAGAAGCCAGCCACCGGACCCAGATGGCGATCTCGTGCACGAATGGCAGATCAACAGGCTGCTCAGTGTCGTCGGTGACGTCGGTGCAGCGACGTGTCAGCTGGATCATCCGCCGTGCTGGTTTCTTTCAGGCTTTTTCTTATGCTTTTCGACCCCATTTTTGGGTCAGCTTCCCTGGATGCTCTGACTCGAGACAAGCTTTCAGCCGCTGTACATGCCACAGCCCCTCATCGACACACCCCAGTACTTGGGTCGGCATATTAGGGACACTCCGCGACAGATGTCGTCACGTGTCGCGCACCCGTTCCTCAGATCACTCCTCCCGAACCCTAGCCGCGTTTGGGACCAGCTCGGCGTAATGTTCAGGACCACATACCTGGCCCGGTACGTCCGCGACCGTGACCAGAGGCGGCTCAGCTAGAGGACTGCCCTTGGAGCTACCATCACTGCGTTTTCCTTGCGTACGACTCGGACAGACTCTCTTCACTCCTCACGGACTTGCATCCTGAGAATTCGGCATCGACGTGCTCTAGAGTCTTGCACACCTACATCACGCTTGCTTTTGGCTGGTGACAGGCGCGCTCGGGCTGCGCTTCCACCGCCGCGTGTCTGGCGGCGCCCCTGACCCGGTCCGTGACGGAAGAGCGCCCGTTTTTGGTCATCCGCTCGTGACCGCCGTCCGGCCCTTTTTCGGTTTGACATCCGGCGTCTTCGGCACGATAGAGGGGGATGGGGGGGGGGGGGGGGTAGGATCCGGACTTGTCCGCGTCCCCAAAAGTGAATGCGCCATGCGGTGGGATAATTCATGCAGAGGTTGCCCAATGCAGAACACGAGACTTCCCATGTAGAACATGGCATGTCTCGTGTTATCCGAAGCGGCAAATGGAAACGAAAAGGAAGAAAGCGGACGATTACCTGAGGTCTCCGAAACGCTCGACAGTTACCTGACATTTCCACAACCTGACATTCTACTATTACGTTCCTCGGGTACAGCTGAGTCGAGCCAAGCATGCGAAGTTACACCGTGCAGGTGCGGTACGGCACCTTGCACCATCTCTGCGCTCTAGCAGAATCGATAATGGGCGACGAACACACCTCCTGACCTTGTTCATATTATGCCGGGCATAAAGTCTCCCTTCAATCACAGCTGGTATTCAGTTTGACCTCTGCCTGTTTTATGGGCCATTGACGATGAGAAACGGTCTTGAAGTTTTGATTTAGTATCCAGATGCCATGCTCGTATGAAAGCCGAGACGCTCGGATGCGGGTTTAGTGTCGCCGAGGACTCCTGCTGAATCACGCGCGTGCCAGCCGCTACAAATACGGCTCTTTCCGACGAGATCTAAGCCCGATCGGAGATCTCCGGCCAGACGATCGATGAGCCTTTGTTCACAGAAGTCCATCGCACAATGGCGCCGCTGGTGAGTGACTTACGCAGCCAGGGCTCGGCCTCGTGCGGCCGGCGCTCGAACGCGAGGCGCGCTCGGCGCTCTCTGGGCTGCTTGTGTGGCCCAGTGGGACGCGTGTTCAATATCATTCAGCGGGCGGCATCCTGTCTGGTTGAGTGAATTATGACGCCTTCTACGGGCACACCGTGTATCTCCAGCATCTCGCCTGCTGTTGCCTGATTTCGGACTTCGTTACTTGTCGCTTGCAGCCACATGAACACGCCCATTACAACCCACAACGCGCTGTAGGCGCATGTAAATGATGCGTATGTGAGCTTTGGATAGGAACAAGAGGGAGAGCGACGTATGGAAGGTGGGAGGGAAGAGAGAAAGGACATATAAATAACGAGATATGGATAGAGGGAGACAGAGGGTGGGCGGGAACGTAGGAGAAAGTGAGTGAGTAAGAGACGAAAAGAAAGAAATCTGGTTAGTTGATGAGTAGTGGCAAAGACCAAACATGATAATTCAGATGTTCGTTTTTCATGAAAGCACTGCAACTGCCAAAATTGGATAGCGTCAATGCTCGAGGCAGTGCGGCCCCTGACCACGGATCACTAGCAGTGTCCCTGGATATATTGCTACTGAGAACGGGGCGTACGCTCGGCACTCCTTGAATTGACCAGCCCTGGGTCATTCGCGCATTAGCCAGTTTACTCACGTCGACCACGGAGCCTCCAATAACCGGGAGCAGGAAGGTGTCTTGACTGCAGCTCCTACCTGCTTCTGCAACCAGCAACAGCGCTCGACTCGAACCGCCCCCGTACATGACGCCAATTCTTTCGGAAGGAACGTGACTTCAGCTTAATCACCCAGTTTGTAAACCAGTTGGCGGTGCCTTTTGAGATGTGTTGTATGCAGCCCAACACAGCACCCTGGCAGTTATCATGCAGCCATCTCGAATTGAATCACGGCTCGTGAGGTAGAAGCGAGCAGAATGCACTCGCACTGCATGACCGGGCCATTAACCGCTGCTTACCGATGATAGGTGACAATATGTGATGTGACGATGATTGTGGGATGTGTGTGTGTCGATCGCGTCGTTCACGTATGCGTGCCTTACGGCGCTGGTTCCACCGGCTTCTTCTCGCCGCCCGTCGTCGCCGACGTCAGCTGAGTGGTGCGTTTGGTCCTGTTTCAGAGCGAGAACTATGGATGAGATCCAACGGACTGAACGGCGGCCCCCACAGACCCGAGGAGAAAAGGTCCACCATATCCAGGTACAGTGACTGGCTCATCGCCGATAGCAGCACGCCCTCGCCAACGTTGTGTCGCATTGTCAGCATACGATGCATCTATTGCCTTTTCGCTTGAGAGAGTAGCATTAGGTGTGCATTTTTACGTGCACAGCCCAGGCTGCTGGCACCAATGCTTCGCATAAATATTCGAGTGTAATGAACGGCATGCTGGAAAGGAAACAGATCATATCAGCCAGAAAATGCCGTAATATCCCACATTTTCACGTTCAAATGTTTCGTTAGTCAGTAACGCAGCCTGGGCTCACGTAGTGGGCAGGGGTCAAGCCTACAGAAAACGTGTGCTAAGATGGACTCCGGTCGGTCAAGCGGTGAGTTTTTGTTTAGAGAACTTTTGCTATAGGGTTTAGTTGGCCCCCACCTGAGCCGTTTGGTTACCTAGTGTGACGGGTCGGGATTCGTTTCAATAAGCTCAGCGCTGCCTCGGCACTCTCAAACCAAACACGCTTACTATACTCGTACAGAACCGCACGGTTTTATTCTGTCATAATACAATTTACGCACGGAATCTGGCGGTCATGTTGTGAAACACCCGCTCAATTTTCATCACCTGGAAAACTACCGGACCATGTTGGGGAGGAATGCTGGGTCCAGGAAGACGTCTGTCTCGTACTTGTGGTTGACGCAACACAATCCGCCGAAAAAGCCGGCCACAGACGTCCGTGGCTCGCCGTGCTATCTACAGATTAGACAAATGACTCATTCTCTCTGGGATGCAGTACATCCGACGCTGACAAACATCGCATAGCGGTCTTCGCCGGGTGCCAGTGATATATCACCGGCACCACCGGTATTGACTCCGTCGAAGGCTGCTAGCGTTCGCGGGCCGCGAACGCGATCTCTGAGAACTAAAGCTGACTGATAAGATCTCGGACGACCTTAGCTTTTCCGGACCGGTTTCGGCTTGAGCGGCATTGGACCATGGAGTGTGTCGTAGGGATCCAAGCACTCGTAAGCCAAAAGGTCGCAAGCTTCGCCGCAGTTTATCCGGCCCTCTCAGGCAAAGAGTGATCGTGTGATGTGATGTGATGATAAAGTGATGTGATGTGATGCATGATGTGATGTTGGCATGATGAGTATGTGTGGGGTCGAGCGGCATGCGCCCTGAGCGCGTCTCTCCGATGTTGTCAGACTCGCAAGTCTTCCACCGGAGCTTGTGCATTACCTGACCCACACATGTCTTAAGTCCTCCAACCAGATTCCGTCTGTTTTGTGATAGCTTTGCCTTGGCTGGACATTCTGCTTACGTTGGCTACCCTCCGCATGATAACGCTGCTAAAATGATTGCCCTTAGACCGGATGTTTGGGCAGCAGCGATTGTTTAGAGCGTGTATGCCCTATAACGTGTTCACATCTAAAACGTAATCAACCTCCCTAAGATTTATGAAACTCCTCCGTACTTTGTCTAACCATCACATGATGTCAGTCGCAACATATTTCGAGGAGAGACCTCGAATCATCGAACACTCAAAGATAGCCGCCCACCACTGGTTCACATGTTTCTTGCCTGGCTTGACAAACAACAACACAACATCGCCTGCTATCATACCCATGATCGCTGTTCCAGCAGTTGTCCATGAGAACTCGGTGCTGGAGCTCTGGCTCAGGCCTGTGCAGTCAGCTGCTACATCTCGGTGCCGTCAGCCCGCCAGCAGCCATTAGACTTCGCCAGACAGACGGCTGTGGCCCGCCGTATAATCGGCTAGGGAACCAACGCTTTATTGCAATCGTTACTTTTTAATGTTGTGCTTTGGTCTGCGACAGTGCTCGCTACCTGAGGCGGTCACTAGTGCCGTCTTGTTTATGTCGACAGTCTCGGGGCTATTTTGCTAGCTGTGACCGTGACGCGTCACACGCCGGCATGCTGTACAGCTCACTTCACCTTCCCGTCGCCCATTACCCCAGCAGGACGTCGGGGCGTCTGATCCCTCTCTCCGGTATATTTAGTTTCAAGGCCTCTACCCTGCCGGCCGAGACTCCACAAATTGTCCCGAGAGAGGTCTACGAGGCGAGACACGGACTAAGGCGAGACCCGGTCAGAAACGAGACACGGACCGAGGCGAGACACGAACCGAGGTGAGATGCCGTCAGAGACGAGACGTGGTCCGAGGTGAAACACGGACCGAGGCGAGACACAGACTGAGGCAAGACACAGTCCGAGGCGAGACACGGACTGAGGCAAGACACAGTCAGAGGCGAGACACGGCCGAGACGAGACACGGTCCAGAGCGCTGCCCACAGTCCTGGCACGCTCGGGGGGAGGCGCGTGCTGCTCCTCTCCCCAGTCCGCTCCGGTCCGGTGGCCGCCCGTTCAGTGTCCACCACGGAACATCCAGCGCAGTTCCGGCACAAATCCGGCGCAGATCAGCGGAGATCCGGCTTCGATCCGCGGAGATCAGGCTTTGATCCGTCTGAAGGACGGCGGCATCCGAGGATGCTCCTGCACCCATAGAAACGGACTTTCCCATGTCTCACTCTGAACGTCACACACATTCACGAGTAAAGATTGCATGAGATGTGTGTTACCCTTTCACGAAGGCGCCCTTCTCATCATGCACCCTGTCACAGCAAACTAGCGTCATGCAATCCGAACAGGATAAAAAGTCGATAACATTCTTTTCCATTTCAACCATCAGGCTGTCAGGCCGCCCTAGAACACGACCAGTCCCTCGTGAGCGATTGCAACGCTTATAGCTAGATCAGTTACTCACGCCGTGAGCCAACTCCCCTAATTACTATCATCAGTGTGCTGCCAGCCCTCCGGCGCCCAGTCAGCGCCATCTGTAGCGCCATCACTCCAGCATGAGCCCGCGGTCCGTGTGGGCCCGACCGCGACTGCCAGCTTCGCCGAACTGTTGCGCCCAAGGCCGTGTGTTGCGATGACTGCCCTGCCCATCGCCGATCATCTGGCTGATAGCCGGCGGCGGTTTCGCGGAGACGCGGCGTCATTGGCCGGCTGGGGACGACCTGTGACGTCACGGCAGGGCGGCGGACGACCGTGGGAACTGCGCGGCTGCGGCTATCCTGGTGGCAGGGCGGCGCTGCCACCAACGGTGGCACAACCCAGGATTTCGCTCAGGAGGGCACCAACTCGGGTTATAGGGGCTCTGCAAACAAAGGAGCCTTTCTTCGTCACTGTAGGACCCTGTTTTTGCACACGGATGACATTTTTCTAGGCTTGTGGTCCACCTTGATACTTTAGGGCCCGTTCGTTTTGTTTTAAAGCCCTATGGGCATTTGAAACTGCCAAAGAGTACTAGGGCCTTCGGCTCTAGGGGTCCGCCTCCTCCAGAGCGAGGGGGGGGGAAGGGGGGAGGCAGAGTGGAAAGGGGAAGCCACAAAACTTCACCATTGGTTACGCCACTGGCGGTCGACCAGCGGTTAGTGGGCTGTTTACATGGGTCCGCGGGCGATGCACGGCTTTTTGGTCGGCTTTAGAGATGAGCAGATTGACAAGCTGTGATGTGGGGTCACCACGGCTGCAGATGTGGCGGAGGATATCGCACAGCCGTGTGAAATAAGGGGCTTTCATTAGCCACAAACACGAACACGAAATATATATAATCCAACAGCTATAGACGGATGGATCAGACAAAGAGAAAGGAGCTTTAGTAGAGGTCCAGAAATGAAAGAACGCTGGAAAAATCCAGAGAAGCCGGCTTTGAGGGGAAAGGCCCGGGAGAGCGCGACAGCCAATGTCGCGGTCGGTGCTGTTTGTGTGTCCAGCCGTGACTGTTCACGCGCCGGCGATCTCAGACCTACGCCGGTCACGCTCCGGCTTCAGCAGCGCCTGATGGGCAGCACCCATTGTTTACCGCTCTATCGGCTCCGAGGCCTCGCGGGCGTGACCAGAGCCGCGACACGACCGCTGCCGCGGCAGACATGCCGGCCACTCTCAGGCGAGCCGCCCCGGTATCGCGCGATCGCGTCCTCGGCAGGTATTCGGCAGGCGGTCTGCGGTTCGGCCGTTTGGCGCCGCTGGAGCGGGGCCGACCGCAGTTGACGGCAGCACGCTTGGCGACGTCTTCTGCTGAGGCTGGATGAGCAGGGGACGGGCTGGAGGCCTCCTACCTGACGGAATAAAGGGTTACAAGTGAAGCGGTACCACCACCGGCGGAAGACAACGAGGCTCCCGTACAGGGAATCTTCGTACGGGCAACCTTCCATCCGATCCAGCCGACAGACCTGAAAATGGGACGATCAGTTTCGTGCTTGTGGCGTAGAAGTACCTCACCTAAGCTATTTGTTGATCGGGGTAGTCCATCGCGGAGCCATTCGTTGTGGCGCCCATGCTTCGTCGCGACACCTAAAGGTTCCCAAGATATGTTTGTGCTCAGACAGATGTCGATGAGCACCCAACCAACAAACGAACGGACGCCTCATCAAATCCTCATCAACTCGGCGCGTCACAGACGACCGTCGCGCAGACCGCGGCTGTCACGCCGCCAGCGCCACCCCCGCGGCTGATCCGTCACCGCCGCCGCGCGCCTGTCACGCGCGCGTCACACACGCGTCACGCAAGCGTGACAGCGTGACAGCCCGTCGGCCGGCGCCGGTTTCCCAGCCGCCTGCCGTCGGCCGAGCGCCGCCCGGCGGCGACCCCGCCGGCTCTGGCTTGGGAAGCGCTAACGGTTCCGGCGGCGCCGGAAGTGATCGGCCGGCGGCGGCCGCCGGCGCAGTCGAGCCTCAGCGGGCGCTGACGGACGGAGGGGCGGCGGTGGGCGGCAGCGACGGCGGCGCGGCGGGGGCTCCTCGTGTCCTAGTCTGTGGAGTGCCGTGTGTCCCGGCCCGCCGTGGGCGGTCTGTCGGCCGGACCCCGGTCTGCGCAGCACAGTTGCCGGCCGGCCGCCGCGGGAGCTCGCTCGGACCCGCTCTGCGTGAGGAGCGGGCGGTGCGCACGGCGGGAGGTCTCGGCGACGGCCGGTGGCCGTGCTGAATTGTCGCGCGGTCCGGAGCGAGACGGCTGTGTCCCACTGGCCCGAAGCGACGGCGACGCCTCCGCGGGAAGTCCGCCGTGTCCCAGCGCCCGAGTGAAGCGTCCTCGCAGGGGCGCCGCGGGGCGTCGCAGCGGACGGTGGACGGCAGGCGGCGAACATCGTGTCTCACACGCAGGGACAGCTGAGGTCTCGGGCGTTCTGAGCGGCCCGCTCGGACCGAGGCTGTGCAGCGGGGGAGCGAGCCGGTGCGGACTGCGTCCGGGAACCGGGACCCGGGACCGGGTCCGGACCGCGACCGACTGATGAGCCACCGCGGTCCGCAGTCGTGCGTGTTGAACTCAACCGAGTGAAGTGTTGACATAACGTTCGCAAGACACGCCGCGGCCGACTTGGAAGCAGGCCATCTCGCAGCGCTGTGTGTGTGCTCCCACCCCGGATACCTGCAATCTCTTCAGCGGAAGTCAACACCCGGCTCCGCCGCCCGTGCGTCCGCAGCGCGTTATCGCGGCCCGCCCCCGTAGCTGTGTATCACTGCGTCATCAGAGGAGCGGCACCCTGGTACACGCCGAACGGGCCGGTCACACGCGTATCCGGCCCCGCCGTATATCACCGTCCCTTCGCCGTCGCTGCAGCCCACGACCGGCCGATTCGGCTGCCCGCCGGCGGCGGCGGGCGCTGACTCTGCACGGCCCCGGGCGGATACGCGGACCTACAATCGCCCCGAGCGCCGCCCGACTGTGCAACCGAGCCGCTGGCCGGCGCCCCGGACCGTTCAAGCGACCGAGGCGGCGCGGCGGCCACGACCGGCGGCAACTGCTGGCCCGGCGCGCGGTACGTGCGGTGGTACGGCGGGAGACGGGCAAGGACTGCCGGCTGTGCTTCTGGGTACGGCGGGGAGACGGACTGAGGCGGTGCACTGGTGGGGAGACTGGGGACCGCCGACCTCTGCTGCCGTGTGGCGGCCGCTGTAATCAAGGCCTCCGCGATGGATTCGGGGCAGCAAGCTGTTGTGCGAGCGTCGAGGACGTGTGAAAAGAATATTGTGCCTTGCAATCACATAAGTGCGGTCAAGCGGGCGGCGCAGACGAGGCCCAGAGCAGACTGAACTCTGAGGAGGGAGAAAGAAGTTCAGCGCTGAATTGATGTTGCTCTGAGACAGGAAACCATCGGAAAAGCGCTGTCGGAGCCACCGTTGCGCGAGGCTGAAGGCCATAGCGCTGAAGTGTTTAAAAGAAAAGGGCTGCTCAGAGGCCGTGACAGGTGGTTCTGCGCGCGCCGGAGCGTGCTTTGGAGCGCTGCCCCGCTGAGTGAGTGATCAGCTGTGTGACAGGCCTCCGAAGGCGTGACTCTCGAGCGCGCTGTGTCGACGTCCGACCGGGCGTGGCCGGGAGCTACGACCAGTCAGCGCTGCCTGCGGGAGATGCGGCTCAGCCAGCGCGCTGTTGCAGGAGCTGGCTCTGCCAGCGTTCCTGCAGACCGCTGCCGCGACGCGGCCGTCTCTGCCACGACAGCCTGAGGACAGCCCGTCGGTTGGCGAGCCGGAAGCCAGGGCGAGTCTGAGCTCAGCGAGGCGGTGTGACTGCGCCAGCTGACGCCATCTTCCGTCGCGTCTCCGCCGGCTCTGCATCTCTGCCGTCTCTGCCAGCTCTGCATCTCTGCGGTCCT